ACTTTTTTACTCTCTCCTCATCTTGTTTTATGTTAAATTTATTTTAGTTTTCAAGTCAGTTTTAAAATGTTAATGTAGTTATTTAGTATTTGTAAAGTAACATTTTTGATAATATTCAAACTAAAGTATTTAAACCTAGAAACATAGTGTGCTAGTGATAATCAAGTAACTGTTGTATATTTACGAATGACATCTACGATGAAGGTATAGCATCGCGTAATAAAAATCAAATCTGCAAAAAAATTAATTTGCGTAATTAGTGGTGGACGTGGTGGTAGGACGTCTTATGAGTCCGCGCAGGTAGGTACGATCACCCTACCTATTTCTATCGTTAAGTAGTAATGCGTTTCAGTTTGGTTCGGCAGTTGTTATACTGTAAAACGGAGACTTCAAAGTCATGTCTCAAGGTGGGTTTCACGTTTTCATGTCTATAGGCTCCGGTAATAATTTTCTTCAGTTTTCGCGATTCATATTATGTACATAATTGAAACTACCCTTACGGTTTAATATTTTTTTTTTATAATGACAATTTTTTGTTTTTATGTGTTAAATTCGATGATGTGTGGTACAGTTGGTAACAGCATTTTGGAAAAGATTTTTGTGAGTAGTGAGTAGTTTTAAGAATACGAATGTTTCTCATACAATTATCAATGATTTAAGCGGAGCCATTCATGAAAACTATAAATAATTTAAATGTAAAATAAAATTACATTAACATAAAAAGTGTTATAATAGCGCGCCATTGTCTTGTTTCTAGATTAAATATTAGCATTTTTATTCGATATCGACACAGGTGTAGACTACGGAAAATTCAATGAAATAAAATGAAAAAAATCTACAAGTAATGTTGTTCGAAAAAAATAAAAATAGTAAGAACATTTTTAAATTATATATGAACGAGTAAGTCCGAAACTTTAAATTCAGGCGTTGAGGGTGGTTGTCAAACTGCAGTCACGAGGTGTGTTTGTTATCGTCCATTGACAAGATGAGCCGACGATTTGACAAGGGTTGAAGAATCACGTTTGATGTACCGGTTTAGTACTCACTCTTGAAATCGTCTTCAGCAGATGAACATCCTGCAGCGAAAGCTGCAGCGAGCTTCTCACCAAAAAGGATTTACAATCCGTCAAGTTTTGGCAATCTAATGTTAATGCTCTAATATATAGATTCAATGTTTAGATGGGTGGACGAGCTCACAGCCCACCTGGTGTTAAGTGGTTACTGGAGCCAATGGACATCTACGACGTAAATGCGCCACCCACCTTGCGATATCAGTTCTAAAGTCTCAAGCACAGCTACAACGGCTGCCCCACCCTTCAAACCGAAACGCATTACTGCTTCACGGCAGAAATGGGCAGGGCGGTGGTACCTACCCGCGCGGACTCACAAGGACTCAAGAGGTCCTACCACCAGTGAAAAGTCAGTCACCAGTGTCACCAATGTCAATGCATATATTTCTATATATACTAATAGTTGTAAGAAGCAATTAAGAATATATTGACCAACATAATTCATTATTAGTTATTTAAACTTGTTAGCGAAAAAGCGATAGCTTGATATGTGTCAATGCATACATTTTTCTAAACTTATATATTAATATTTGTAAGAAGCAATTAAGAATATATTAGCAGAAATGCGATAAATTATCAGCGGCAGCATTCTTATCAATGTATCCATTTCTACATAAACTAATATTTGTAAGAGGCAATTAAGAAAATATGAACGAACAAACTTCATCGATTAGTTATTTAAATCGAAATGTCACTGAACTTTTGATTTAATCCGATATTGATGATAATATAATATAACGTATAATATAAAAATAAAATATAAGTATAACGCAAAAGTACAGGTAGATCGGTATTAGGTAATATTAAAGGAAATCGTAATATATATTACCGACCCATAAAAATGTTTATGTAAGGTGTAAACATATTGCGTTTTAGTATTTTTGTGAAATAATCTAGCTGAATTAGCTATGAATATTTAACGATAGTGATATTTTAACTAAAAAAATACAATATTTGAGAAATAAGCTTCGTACATTTACAAAAAAAATACTTAAGAAAACTGCTGATTTTTACAACTATCTGTACTTATAATTATATGGCGTTAATGGCTCATATACAACTTGACATAACTAACCAAATTACTATAGCCCATTACTTATTAATTCATATATCATAATGGAAAACATAGTAACAAAAATATTCATCTAAAACCAAATAGCGACATAGGTCGGTAATAGAAATAAAATAGTGATAATTGTTCCTATTACCGCTACTTTTAAATATAGAATTTTAGACAAATTTAAGCTGTATCTCATGGAAATTACTTGTTATTTGTGTTTATTAAAGCATTACGAAGACATCACAAAATATTTAAACTGCATTAGGATGCTTTACGATTATATTTTTTACTAAAAACGAAATGGATGTACTTATGTAAGCGGGACCGACTTAGTATGAAATTTGCGCTGTCTCCGTGCTCCAACGACGAACTAGGCAATTATTATTTAATTTATTGGTTTAGGCACAAAAGGAAGTGATGTATATTTGCAATACAAATACATCTGTATTTTCTTTAAAGCAACCACTAGTCTAAGTTTAATACAACAGCTCAAAATTAGAATTTTATAAAACGGGCGGTAATGGGTACCGAATTTGAGAGGTCGTTGTTAGGTGCGTTTACGTTAATATTAGCATTAATTTAACCCAGCCAGCACTATGATCCGTAAGTAAATACGTCAGAAATGAAAATACAACATTATTTTGAAAACGGGTCATTAAATAAGCGACCATGAACTTTTATTAGAGACCATTTGAATTACAAAATACAACCTTTTGTAACGATTAGAATTTAAAACCACTTCGGTCTGCATAGATAATTTTTGTAACAGCCACATTATTTAAGAATAGTAATAATAAATACAGGAAAAAACCTGTTTGTAATGAAATGATTGCAACTTTTATCGTAAAATTTAATAAAATAAAATAATTTGCTAATATTGATATTGTCTGCTTAAAATTATATGAGATATTAATATTATGTATGGGGTGTGGGGGGAACTCATATTCAAAAATCACTCGAATTTTCGAAATATCCATCTTTCTTGTCTAAGCTGAATAAAAAAAAAACAACTGAAAGTCAATAATTTACGATTATATTTTTTACTAAAAACGAAATGGATGTACTTATGTAAGCGGGACCGACTTAGTATGAAATTTGCGCTGTCTCCGTACTCCAACGACGAACTAGGCAATTATTATTTAATTTATTGGTTTAGGCACAAAAGGAAGTGATGTATATTTGCAATAAAAATACATCTGTATTTTCTTTAAAGCAACCACTAGTCTAAGTTTAATACAACAGCTCAAAATTAGAATTTTATAAAACGGGCGGTAATGGGTACCGAATTTGAGAGGTCGTTGTTAGGTGCGTTTACGTTAATATTAGCATTAATTTAACCCAGCCAGCACTATGATCCGTAAGTAAATACGTCAGAAATGAAAATGCAACATTATTTTGAAAACGGGTCATTAAATAAGCGACCATGAACTTTTATTAGAGACCATTTGAATTACAAAATACAATCTTTTGTAACGATTAGAATTTAAAACCACTTCGGTCTGCATAGATAATTTTTGTAACAGCCACATTATTTAAGAATAGTAATAATAAATACAGGAAAAAACCTGTTTGTAATGAAATGATTGCAACTTTTATCGTAAAATTTAATAAAATAAAATAATTTGCTAATATTGATATTGTCTGCTTAAAATTATATGAGATATTAATATTATGTATGGGGTGTGGGGGGAACTCATATTCAAAAATCACTCGAATTTTCGAAATATCCATCTTTCTTGTCTAAGCTGAATAAAAAAAAAACAACTGAAAGTCAATAATTTACGATTATATTTTTTACTAAAAACGAAATGGATGTACTTATGTAAGCGGGACCGACTTAGTATGAAATTTGCGCTGTCTCCGTACTCCAACGACGAACTAGGCAATTATTATTTAATTTATTGGTTTAGGCACAAAAGGAAGTGATGTATATTTGCAATAAAAATACATCTGTATTTTCTTTAAAGCAACCACTAGTCTAAGTTTAATACAACAGCTCAAAATTAGAATTTTATAAAACGGGCGGTAATGGGTACCGAATTTGAGAGGTCGTTGTTAGGTGCGTTTACGTTAATATTAGCATTAATTTAACCCAGCCAGCACTATGATCCGTAAGTAAATACGTCAGAAATGAAAATGCAACATTATTTTGAAAACGGGTCATTAAATAAGCGACCATGAACTTTTATTAGAGACCATTTGAATTACAAAATACAATCTTTTGTAACGATTAGAATTTAAAACCACTTCGGTCTGCATAGATAATTTTTGTAACAGCCACATTATTTAAGAATAGTAATAATAAATACAGGAAAAAACCTGTTTGTAATGAAATGATTGCAACTTTTATCGTAAAATTTAATAAAATAAAATAATTTGCTAATATTGATATTGTCTGCTTAAAATTATATGAGATATTAATATTATGTATGGGGTGTGGAGGGAACTCATATTCAAAAATCACTCGAATTTTCGAAATATCCATCTTTCTTGTCTAAGCTGAATAAAAAAAAAACAACTGAAAGTCAATAATCGAATGTTGCACATTTTTTAAAAGAAGAACTTCACAGGTGCCATTTGAATAAAGTTTCACTCAAAAATCTTGGGAATTTCATACTTTAATCCCTATTGTTAAAATTTTCGATTCCGTCCAAAAAAAGTGACACGAATAATTTAGAACGTTAAAGTTGTCGAAAAAAAATATAATTTATTTACAGCGGGCGTTGATGGATATGTTAATCTTCTTTTAACTTTAATTATTTATTGACGACGCTCTCGAGAAAAGTTTTTAATTACATGTATGTATCCTTGATTTTACGAAAAGAACAATAATATTATTTTAAAATAATATTTTTTTCCATTGTTCACAGAAATGATGGCAGATGAAACCGTCAACATGGAAATGCTCGAGAACAATTTGCTGAATGTCACGAACGTGACAGACCAATCTTCTGCGTACAGTGAATCCTACCCATTACATCTGCTAGTACCATTAAGTGTTACGTACGCTGTCATATTCATAGTCGGGATCTTAGGGAATACAAGCACATGCGTGGTCATAGCGCGTAACCGCTCCATGCACACCGCCACTAACTTCTACCTCTTCAGTCTTGCTATCTCCGATATAATACTCCTTGTGTGCGGTCTGCCCTTAGAATTGTATCGCTTGTGGAATCCGTTTACGTACCCCCTCGGTGAGGCGCAATGTATCACGATAGGTCTGGCGTCTGAAACGTCTGCGAACGCAACCGTATTGACTATTACGGCATTCACTATGGAGCGATACATTGCTATATGTAGACCGTTCATGTCGCATACCATGTCGAAGCTTTCACGGGCTGTGCGATTTATTATTGCTATATGGGTGTTCGCGCTGTGTACGGCGGTACCTCAAGCGATGCAATTCGGTATAGTGTCTTACGTTGAAAACGGACAGAGCATGAGTGCTTGTACTGTGAAAGGACCTGGTGTGCACCAAGTGTTTGTCATTTCGAGTTTTGTTTTCTTCGTTGTACCTATGTCGGTTATATCGGTGTTGTACGCGTTGATAGGGCTCAAGTTACGTACGTCTCGTATTTTGCATCCCGTTAAGAAGCTGTCATTAGATAGCAATGAGAGGCCTGGCGCGCACACACCGTACAGAAACGGAAGCTCACAGAGGAGGGTCATCAGAATGCTCGGTGAGTTTACTGAAACGATATCTCGTTCCGCATCAAGGCCAATATAATGTGTGATAATTTTTAATATGTTTATTTCTGAGTAGTAATATTTGCCTAATTCACACATTAGACTTTTCTATTCTAAGTCTGTGTTTAACAGATTGACTGCCATGTAGGTCGCCGCTATCCCACGCAGCGCACTGAAGTAATTATGTCTATTTCTCTCTTCGATCCTCTTGCTAAGGCGCCGGAATATCTAATAGACTCTGGGAAAGACGAATCCGAATTTACTGAGAATGAATCTATTTCTAAGACCTAAAATACTAAAACATACATTAACAAACAAGAGAAGGCAAAGTTAGGCAATCAAGGCGCTTAGTAACAGAAATCGATATAATCACTTCAGTGCGCCGCGTAGGGCACCGGTGACCTACACGGCAGTCAATCTGTTAAATACATACTTAGTCTGGCCATAAATACTGTTACAAAGGAAAACAAAAAAAAAACTATGGCACGTAACATTTATTACTTTTACAGTGTGTTAGTTTAATACATAAATATAAAACAATTTAAAGTATAAAAAGCTTATTCGAAGTGGTCTCCATTGGCTGCAATCCAGTCCTTTAAACGTTGAGGCCAGTTATCAATAGAAGCACGCACTCTTTCCATGGGAAAATTTTTCACTGCCAATCGTACGGATTGTTTTAGGGACTCCAAATTATCATGGCGTTTAGAGCAAGCCGTTCTCTCTAAAACTGACCATAAATCATAATCCAGCGGATTAAGATCAGGACTAGACGACAGCCAGTCTTCAGCTCTGATGAAGTCCGAAACATTAGTTTCCAACCAAGACTGAGTAGACTGAGCTTTATGACCTGGCGCCGAGTCTTGCTGGAAGGACCATTCTTGATTATTGAACATGGTGTTGTTAAGGGGCTTCACTACCTTTGATTTTACCACCCTATTCTCTTTTAAATTATCAGTTAAGAAATGACCAGTACGTCTCTTATAGGCTGCAAGTCCTAAGTCATCTTTTAAAATACGCGACATAGTTCTAGGTGCTTGCTATCTTCATCTCCCGAGATAAAATCTTTTGCTTTCGGACAGGATTTCTTCGAATTCTTTCCCTTACTGCTTTGACCACTTTTTTCGTACGAACACTACGTGGAGGGCTAGATATTTTTCTGTCACAAACAGAGGAGGTCTCATTGCACCTATTAATAGCCCGGTACACAAACATTTTACTAATACCAAGCGTATGGAGAGTTTTAAATATTGCATTTGGCTCCATACCTACTTTTTGTAATGCAATCACAGCGATTCGGTTCTCATTATCACCCCACTCCATTTTAATATCGCAAAATATTGTACAATGTATTGGCGCCAAAATGAGAAAACTCAATGAGCAATCATATAAAAATGACAGATTCCAAATTCAAATGTAATTTTTTGTCTATTTTTAATTGTAACAGTATTTATGGCCAGACTAAGTATAGAGCGTGTGTATTATGTAGGGTGATAATGACAAAAGACACGTCAGATTGAAACCTGTTTATAGTGCGATCACTCAACACAGACGAAACTAAACCCGCTACAATTCTAATATTTTTTTATTGATCTTGTTGGCAGACGTGCATAGTGAGTGGTTACCGTCGCTTATGGACGTCAACAAAGCCAGGGGTACAGCCAAGCCGCTGCCTGCTAAAGTATCTAATAAGTACCTATTAAGTAGGTATGAATCTATACTAATATTATAAAGCTGAAGAGTTTGTTTGTTTGAACGCGCTAATCTCAGGAACAGTAGTTCCTGAGGAACAGTAGAAATAATTTTTAATTGAATGAAAATTATTTCAGCATTAGATAACCCATTTATTTAGGAAGGCTATAGGCTATATAACATCACGGTAAGGCCAATACAAGTGGAGCACCAATAAAGAATGTTTCAAAATAGGGGTTTAAATAGCTCCTTAACATTCTATAATTCAAAAATATTATGACTTTCTACGTAAATGAAGTGGGGGTAAAATTTAACGTTATGCCAACGTAACTATTCCCCGCGGACGGAGTCGCGGGCAAAAACTAGTTATTAAATAAATAATTAGCCTCACAACAAAAAAAAAATGCAACTAATACTTTTCGGTATTATGTACGCTCCCGAACGATTTTTTGTTTGTGCAATAAATTATTTTATATTCACCTCTATTAATGTCAGATTTAAAAAAAAATTGTCTCTCAAAACCCGAACTTCGAACTTTAAAATTTAATATTAACGAAGACGCCATTTATCAAGATATTCACGTGAATTACTTTCGATTCAGTTGCTGTGGCGCTGTCGTTTTTCATCTGTTGGGCTCCATTTCACGTGCAGAGGCTTCTCGCGATTTATGGGAAGAGTTTGGAACATCCGTCTGATACATTTTATCTGGTATGAATCTAATTCACGTATTACAGTGACGTGTATTTAAGGATATTAAGGCAGAAAAGTTGAAGCAGTTGGGCGTTCGAGTTTGAGGGACATGAAGAGATTTCAATGTAGATAACAGAAACTCCAATCTCAGTTTTCAAGGTTTGTGGTATCTACGGGCTAAGTAGGTAATCTCTTAATATCATATTGGCAGTTAGCTCGTCTGGCCATCTACGTTAAAACACGATGTTTTACAGCCTTTGAACTTTTCTTTGTATCTCAGTCAGTCTCAAACAGACTTCATTGTACAGTTGGTAAGAATGTTTATATAATGTTAAATACGAATTAATATTTAACTTTATCATACTGTGTCTGTGTTTACATGACTTGTTTAAGTGCAAATTGTAGTCGTCGTAGCCTAAAGGATAAGACGCTCGCTGCTGTCGTTTCGATGCGACTGTGCCGGTGTTCGAATCCCGCAGACCAATTTTTCTTTTTCACCAATTTTTCTAACAAAATAAGTATGTACGTAACGTAGTTCACGAATGACTGTCACGGTGAAGGGATAACATCGTGTAATAAAAATCAAACCGCCCAAAATTATAATTTGTGTAATTACTGATGGTAGGACGTCTTCGAGTAAGCCGCCTCGTCACCACGTCGCCTATTTCTGTAGCGAAGTACTATAGAACTGAGACTTAGAAGTCATGTCTCAAAGTGGGCGGTTGATGTCTATGAGCTCCGGTAACCACTTAGCACTAGGTTGGCGGGAATACGTTCACACGATTAAGCAATAAAAAAAACTACGCCCAAACATATTTTTTTGTGTATGTACATATTTGAGTAGACACTAAAATATATATTTTTTCGCAGGTGTACATAGTGTTGACCTTTTTATCTGGAGTCCTGTATTTCCTTTCGACGGCTATTAATCCATTTCTCTACAACATAATGTCGAACAAATTCAGGAACGCTTTCAAGGTAAGATTAAACTAGTACGAAACTCTTAAAGGTGAAGGTAGATAATTTAAAGTTTACGCAATCATGGCACAACAAAAACCATTGACTGAATTTGATGAAAATCTATTTATTTTTAAATGTGTTCATCAATATCTTGGCAAAGGGAGTACATTTTTAAGTTGAAAAAAATAAATAATAGTTTAGAAAAACAGAAAAACATGCTTTATATAAAATTCAACAAAAAAATAGAAAATAAATTTTAATAAATTTAAATTGAAAATCGTGTAAAAAATATATATACATATATTTTATTGTAAAAAAAGCGTGTATTTTTTAATCGAATTTTATATAAAGCGTGTTTTTTTTGTTTTTTTAAACTGTTATTTATTTTTCATTTCTTAGTTAAATTTTCTATAAAGCGTATTTTTAAAACTATTAAGTACTTTAACATCAATTCTTGCCTTGTCGACTATAGATAAAAATTATACAAGTTAGCAAAAATCTTATTTTGCAAATTGAATAATGGAATAATCTTATCAAATTAGTGTATTGTCATCGGTCCTCGCTAAATCTACAAAGTTTGAATGAAATCTGGCCGTTTAAAGTGGGTCAAAATCGCCTCTAAAGGAGTCAGTTACAAACATACATACAAGTGAAGCTAATATAAAGCGTGTAAAAAAAAGGGAAAAACGCAATTTTTAATTCAGCTCAAAATCGACATCGTTTTTAATATGTAGCTTAACGAAAAACATACGCAACAAGTATTGAGAGTTTGAAGTTCTACATAATTTGTTTATGTTGTGATAAATCGTAAGATATTGTAGGCATTTGGCTGTCTGCCCGCGAATAATAACACGAAAACGATTTGTTGGTGCGTTTATAGACTTTATTAATAGAAATTATCGCTGAAACATGATTAGGGATTGGCCGTAAAAAGACTAAGACATTTTAATGGTTTGTGTCAAGTCATCAAACTAAATAGCGAGGTTCATTGTACACTGTAGTTGAACGTGCCGAGGGATTTTGACAGTTCAAAATTAAAGGTGTAATATTTTAGTGTAGTGTAGTGTACTTATGTGTTTTATTGTATTCCTTGAAAAAACCTATCAATCGTAAATATCATTATTTACATAATCTATGCGCTTTCTTTCGCACTTTATTGACTGCAAAGTTTTATTAAAGCTCTAAAAAGCAAGATAGATTAGTTCGATTTAGCCAATAACACAATAATGTAGTACAATAAACAGTCCAATGATACATATTATCTAATTTACCCCCCGTCCGGTAATACTTCAATAGACGCAATGATTGCATCCTCTATTTTATTATAAAATTGTATGTTCGAAAATGTACTGATAATTTTGTAAAACATTTGTAAATTCGCCTTAATAAAAAGTTATTTTATGACAACGAAGTACATTTTTTTTTTGAATAAAACTAAATGCTGAATTGGTAAAGTAGCAATCTATTTTATTTATAACAAAAAATATGCGCTGTTCTATACTAATGCTAATTTTCTAATTGCTAATTTTCTAAAGCGGTCAGAATTGAAAAAAAAATGATTTTTTGTAGCTTCAATTAAGTAGTTGAATGGCCGCGTTAAGCTTATTTAATGCGTTGCGTCACAACAATAAAACAAAAAAATATGAAAACCCGTTTTTCCCGCCTCAGGATTTGACTGATCTGCAGAAAGAAATGCATGTTGAAACTTGTGTTGCCTTATTGAATCGATACAGAAATGAAGGAATATTGGATCGAATTGTGACATGTGATGAAAAGTGGATTATTTACGATAACCGTAAGCGAAAAATGCGACTGACCCCAGGTCAAATGTAACTGTTTGGTGGTCTCAGTGTGGTGTTATTCACTATAACTTACTCCGATCTGGTCAAGCAATAACGGCACATATCTATAGTGCGGAACTGTGAAAAATGATAACAAAACTTGCAGTGAAACAGCCCCGACTCATGAATCGATCTTCACCATTATTGCTCTATGATAACGTGATACCTTATACAGCACGAGAAACCGTTTTAACTCTACAGGAACTGCAATTAGAAGCCATTCGTCACCTTCCGTATTCCCCAGACCTTGCGCCAACGGACTACCATTTTTCGTAATTTCGACAATTTTCTATGTGATAAAAAGTTTTCTTCCTAGGAGGCAGTACAAAATGCTTTCACACAGTTTGTGGAATCTAGATCACCAGAGCTCTATCGCAAAGGCATAAATGACCTTGCTATTAGATGGCAGTAATAAATGTGCTCAATGAAAAAAAAAAACGAATTTGAATTTTTCAGTACAAATCGGCAATTTCATACTTTAAGCCCTAATATTTTAAAACACAAAGCCTACTCTACTCCCTCCTTTCCTCCCAAAATTGACACTAAAACATATGTAATATCTAGTTTTTATTGTTAAGACGGCTCAACGTGCTCAGGGTCCGCCGGTTGTGGAGTGGTTTCCTGAGCCCATGGACATCACAATGTGAATACCACCATCATAGCATGAGACATGAAGTCTAAGTTTCAATTATATAGCACTAGCTGACCCGGCAGACTTTGTAGTGTCTCAATCGATAAATAGAAGACCTGAGCTTTTGTATAAAATAAACTTAAAACAAACAAAAGGAATCCGTCCGACGGGGGACACATCACAGGAAAAACAAAATCGTTATTTTTATTTAACTCCCAGCATTTTCGTATTTACGTACCTTTCAAACCTTCTCTGGACTTCTACAAATAATTCAAGGCCAAAATTAGCCACATCGGCTCAGCCGTTCTCGAGTTTTAGCGAGACTAACGAACACCAATTCATTTTTATATATATAGATAGATTTGAACGATCTCACCCTTCAAACCAGAATGCACCGCTGTTTCGCGGCAGAAATGGGCAGGGTGGTGGTATATATCCGTACGGGGTCCATTCGTAAAAGGCTCATCAAAAGACCGGTTCTACGAATTTCATTTGATAAGTGTGTCTAGTATTACAATCTTTAATTAAATCTGTTTGTTGTATGTTTACAAAGCGATACTTTACATGAAAAAGATATCCTACACTCTCGAAAATAATTATCTATTTCTAAGGCAAACGGGTAAATTACACATCGTTTGCCTCAAGCTCAATATTTATTTATCACGATAATTATCTTGATTAACGATTAGTAGTTAACCAATGAGTTGAAAAAATGTTAGTTGATGATAAGACAAGTTTGTAAGTAACTTTGGATGTTAAATGTTCATTCTTAATGTATTTTTTTTTGTTCGTTTTACTGAATCAATCTAACAGTTTTCGCTGAATAATTTGAGCATAAATTCCTTAGTTTGCTTTAGTAATTACCTTATAACATTCTAAATTGTATGTTACTAAAGTTTCCTTTTTAGTCAGTGATATAAGGCTCTATAGGCCAATGTACATTTGGCTTATCTTAAAAAAAAATTCGAACTAGGGACGAAATACGAATAACTAAAAATTTATAATCCCAGTACTGTGATGTAATACTACCACTTTGTTTCTTTAGGGTCTAAGCAAATATTTTTCCAATTTCAATTTACCTATTTAAACAATAATTTCAATCGGTTCAATTTCAATAAAAGAATATGAAATTGTTATAATAGGTAGGTATTTATAGGCTCTGTACGCAAACAAATGAAATTTTTGTTCCATTTATGCTTTTTCAAATAGTAAAAAAATCACAACTGTCTGTTGTAATGAAATCTCTATTTAATTTGAGAATTTTCAATCGCGTCAAATCGAAGATTAAAAACATTTGTAATTAATATTATTTACTCGATTTTTTTTATCGAATGGAAACCACGAAAGTTCGAAATTTAAAACATGTAACACACGATAGTAAATTAATTTTGTATTTCGATTACTGTGTAGACTTTAACTACTTACTACTTACTAAGTTTACCTTTTGTTTTTTTCTTTCGGTTCAGAAAGCAGAAGTAAAATTTCTATCAACTACTCACTTCCTATAAACTGAAACAAGTGAAATGTTTAAATGTCAGATATAATGAATCTAATTGCTTCAAGAACTCCGAATCCTAGCTCGAAGCTTTTCGTTTCTGAAAATTAAGGTCGCTCTTGTACTACAGAAAGAGAAATTGTAAGAATATTTGTTCTTAATATTATGAATGGTTTGAGGAAAGGCGACTGTCTGGGAAGTTCTTTAAATGGTAATTAATGTAACGTGTAAATAACTCTACATGTATTACGGTGGTAAATGGTTTATGTGATATGAATTGAAGCGAATGAATTGCTTGATGCTATCAGCCTGTCGAGTCTTCAATAGCGTTTTCAAGCACCGAATGAGATGCGAGCATATTACAAAATTAATTATAGTTCTGGTGTGACGTCACAGCAGTGAAATAAGCAAAGCTAAGTGTACCTAATTGCTGATTAATTTAACATTGCGGGCTACGCGGACACGACAATTGAATGTGCGATAATATTTTCATAAAAGAAAAACGGAGTTTTGGCACATTGGCACATGGTAGACAGCGCTTTGGCTTTGCCCCTGAAATTGTTGAAGTCCATGGGCGACGGTAACGGCTCACCATTAGGTGGGCCGACAGATCGTCTGCCCACAAGGGCAATAAAAAAAAGGTTGATTTTGAAATTGCCTGCGCTTTCAAGGAGGATTCATTCGATTCTAAGAAGCGAGATCTCAAGCGTATTAAAAAAAAAATTCAAAACTGTAAAATTGTAAAAAAATTTTCATCCGTAAACAAAATTTTTCTATGACCTCCCTTTGCGTACCGCTTCAGTAGTTGTTTCGATTTTACCACCCTATTTTCTTTTAAATTATCAGTTAAGAAATGACCAGTACGTCTTTTATAGGCTGCAAGTTGTAAGTCATCTTTTAAAATACGCGACATGGTTCTAGGTGCTATCTTCATCTCCCGAGATAAAATCGTTTGCTTTCGGACAGGATTTCTTCGAATTCTTTTCCTTACTGCTTTGACCACCTTTTTCGTACGAACACTACGTGGACGGCCAGATCTTTTTCTGTCACA